CCCAGGATCTGCAGTCAGATAGCCGGAGAGCCAGGAGGGCCGGTGTGTGGTTCCGGCCTGAATCTGAAAGCCTGGGAAGCAGGAGACCCAAGGCTCTCAGGGGGCTGGCAGGCTGGAGACCCAGGAAGAGCCATGTTTCAGCTTGAGTCTGAGGGCAGGAAAAGCCAAATGTCCCTGTTCAATGGCCATCAAGCAGGAGAAATTCTCTGTTACCTGGGGGAGGGTCAACTTTTTGTTCTATTCAGGCCTTCAGCTGATTGGCTGAGGGCCATACGCATAAGGGAGGCAATCTGTTTTACTCAGTCTACTGATTCGAATGCTTCTGTCATGCCCAAATGCCCTCACAGACACATCCAGTCTAGTTGACACATGAAATGAACCATCACAGTATCCTGTGGACAAGACACAGAAATGAGAACTAGATGAAAAGACAGTCTACAATCTGTGATCCATAGATGAGAAGTTTGTTGATGGACCAGTGTTGGTATGGCAGGAGACTTATGACAAATGAGTGACTTATAGAGTCCTTTTCAGTGTAAGACCATGTGCTTCAACTGAATTATGCTCCACATAACACTGGATGCCTAGGGCGCCCGGGTGGCTCAGTCGTTGAGCGTCTGCCTTCGGCTCAGGTCATGATCCCAGGTCCTGGGATCGAGTCCCGCGTCGGGCTCCCGGCTCATTGGAGAGTCTGCCTCTCTCTCTGACCCTCCCCCTGCTTGTGTTCCTGCTCTCACTGTGTCTCTCTCTCTGTCAAATAAAAACAAAACAAAACAAAACACTGGATGCCTAAAAAACAATAAGAGTCTCATTTATTTGGTGAGGATATTCTTCCCCCTGGAAGAGATACAGCTTACAAGGAGTAATAGATAGTGTTAAGTGTTTCTTCTGTATTGACATTTGCGTGTGTAGGTCTCCATATTTCCCATCCCAGCGGAAGCTGGAGTGGGATGGGGTCTCAGAGCATCCTCCTCACAGAGTGTGTGTGACAAACCTTTTACAGTCCTCCTTCCTATGGAAAGTTGTATCGTTAAGTGACAAAAGCCAGGACAAGATAGTAGAATACCATGTGCCTAAAAATACTGATCTATACCTTTGTTTAAGTGTAGAGTACTATGAGACTTGCTCTTTGGGAAATCAGAAGACAAGGGGGTGCTGAAGTAAGGAGTTTTCTCTCTTTGAACTTCTTTTGTGCAATGTTCTTATTCATTAGCATTTCATCAAATCAGAGGGATGTATTTGAAATTTCAGAAATTTGCATTTTACCAAATAAATAACAAAAGAGAGAGAGGGAGAAGAAAAGTAGGGAAGGAAAGGAAGGAGGAGGGAGAAAAGACACAGAAGAAAAGGAAAGAAAGGAATGGAGCAGGGGAGGGAAGCAGAAGGATGGGAGGAACGGGAAAGAACAAGAAAGAAAATGAAGGGGGGCACCTGGGTGGTTCAGTCCATTAAGTTTCTGACTCTTGATTTCAGCTCAGGTCATCTCAGGGTGGTGAGATTGAGCCCCGCATCTGGCTCCATGCTGACTTCGGAGCCTGCTTAAGATTCTCTCTCTCCCTCTATCACTCCCCACCCCCTGCTCACATTCACACTCGAAAGAAAGAAAGAAAGAAAGAAAGAAGGAAGGAAGGAAGGAAGGAAGGAAGGAAGGAAGAAAGAAAGAAAGAAAGAAAGAAAGAAAGAAAGAAAGAAAGAAAGAAAGAAAGAAAGAAAGGAAAAGAAAGAGAAAGAAAGAAAAGAAGGAAGGAAGGAAAGACAGGAAGACAGAAATCAGTGTTGTGCAAAGGAGGGGAGAGGTTTCAGTACCAAATGTGCCTTAGCCACACATCATGCCAACTCTGAGATTAAGACCAAGTCAAAGTCAAAGCCAGGCTTGATTACTCAAGTCCATACTGAAGGTACCCCATCCCTACCCCTTTCCTGCTTCTCAGTGTGCTTAGTAAAGAAGGTTCTAGTCATAGCCCTCTAATAGGGGCTGAGGGTCAAAAAGTAAGAAAATAAATAAAACAAGATATGGGCTAGGACTGCAGATGTTGAACTGGGATAAATTGAAAGGAAAATTATTCAGCATATCTCAAATAGTCATTGCCCATGTCTTACCACACTAGTGTGCATTGTTTGCTACATTTTGTACCACATTAATAAGCTCTTTAAACAGGGACCGGGACAACCTCATCTTTGTATAATAGTTCGTGCTGAATAAATATTAGTTGGATTTCTTTGACTTTAAAGTGAGTAAATGAAAGTCTGGCAGGTGATTATCAGGATAGACAAGTGAAATAGTAACACATAATTTTGTCTAATGGCATATTTGCCTTTCTGATGGTTAATTTTATGTGTCAATGAGTATTACAAGTGAAACACACACAGGGGAGTAGGCCCTGTTCTCCGCCAGCTTACTAGATTGTTGGGGAGACCTAGCAAGTAACTAGGTGACAAGTGACAAAGCCCCTTATTAGGCAGCAAGTCGGCAAAGTGGCACAAACAGAAACACAATTATCAGTGATTGCAACTCAAGTGTGATATGGGCTAAAAGATGGGTTAGGAGGTGGTGGACAGTGGGGGAGCCCAGCGCAGATGCCAAAGGAAGTGATGGTTTAGATGACTCTTGAAGAGCAAGACAGGATCTGGGTAGACGGATGGGAGGGGTGTTTCATGCAAACGCGTCAGTGTGTTTCATGCCACGGGGAGCTCCGAGTCCACAGCTACAATGGAAGCTGCATGAATGCACCAACGGCAGGATGCTAGTTTGCTACGGCTCACGTAACGAATGGCCACAGAATTAGTAGCTTAAAATAAAACAAACCTATTATCTTAGGGTTATGGAGGTCAAAAGTCCAAAATGATTCCCACTGGGCTAAAATCGACGTGTTGGTAAGGCTGAGTTCCTTCTGGAGGTTACAGGCCCTCAGAAAGGCAAATAATCTGAATCATATTTCTTGAATGTCAAACTTCAGGTTAACAGTTAAAACTCAGAGAGAGAGAGACCTTACTGTTAATACAGACAAGTTCCTGAGTCTGTTGGCCCAATGTTCTACAACAGACAAAAATGTCCACAAAATATTGGACATTATCAAATAGTATATGAGGAAGAAAAACTAAGATTGTTCCCCAGACGAACATTATAAATCTACTAGTTTTAGAACTTCTCCCTCTGTTACAGTGTCATTGAAACAAATAAAGATACAATATTTTTTTCAAAGATGATGTGATCGGGGTGCCTGTGTGGCTCGGTTGTTAAGCGTCTACCTTCGGCTCAGGTCATGGTCCCAGGGTCCTGGGATGGAGTCCTGCATCGGGCTCCCTGCTCCGCGGAAAGCCTGCTTCTCCCTCCCCCACTCCCCCTGCTTGTGTTCCCTCTCTCGCTTTGTCTCTCTCTCTCTGTCAAATAAATAAATAAAATCTTAAAAAAAAAAAAAGATGTGAACCCTGCTCAGAGAAATGAAAAAAAAAAATACATGGAATCTTGATGAGCACTGAGCAATGTATAGAGGTGTTGATTCGTTATATTATACACCTAAAACTAATATAACACTGTATGTTAATCATAGTTCCATTTTTAAAAAGTACATGGAGAAAAGACCGGCAATAAATTCATTCAAAAACGTTTCCTGAATATTTGGGGACTGAGGACAACTTTCTGCTTTGCTGTTATTCAGATTTTCTAGAACAAGCCGATACCACGTTTATAATGAATAAACATATTTTAAAAGAAAGATAAAAATAGAATTAGAATCCAGAAAAGGATATCTAAAATGAGCACAAGAAAAAGTGGATTAATGTATATGGACAAATCAAAATATACAGCCTGGGATGACAACAGGCAGAAAAGGAAACCATCTATTTTACATATAAGCAAACATGGACTTATTCATCTTGAATAAGAATTAAGAGTGGAAAGGCAAATTTCTGACAATCAGGAGGGGGAAAATGGTCCTTTCTGTGGTAGACAGAATACTGTCCACCACCACCCTCTTGCCCTGGCAAATATTCATATTTTGATGCCTGGAACTTGTGAATGTTCCTGTACAAGGCAAAAGGAACTTAGCAGATGTGATTACTTGAAGAATCTTAAGGTGAGCACGTTAGCCTCAATTATCCAGGTGGGCCCGATGGAGTCCTAAGGGTCCTTATAAGAGGGAAGCGGGAGGGGCAGGGCAGGCCAAGTTCCATTGATGGTCGTGGTCGCTTTGTTGTGCAGCCAGGAGCCCCGGCGTGTGGGTAGCTTCGAGAAGCTGTAAAGAGTAAGCAAACCATTTCTTCCCCTGTAACCTCCAGAAGGAACTCAGCCTTACCAACATGTCGATTTTAGCCCAGTGGGAATCATTTTGGACTTTTGACCTCCATAACCCTAAGATAATAGGTTTGTTTTATTTTAAGCTACTAATTCTGTGGCCATTCGTTACGTGAGCCGTAGCAAACTAGCATCCTGCCGTTGGTGCATTCATGCAGCTTCCATTGTAGCTGTGGACTCGGAGCTCCCCGTGGCATGAAACACACTGACGCGTTTGCATGAAACACCCCTCCCATCCGTCTACCCAGATCCTGTCTTGCTCTTTAAGAGTCATCTAAACCATCACTTCCTTTGGCATCTGCGCTGGGCTCCCCCACTGTCCACCACCTCCTAACCCATCTTTTAGCCCATATCACACTTGAGTTGCAATCACTGATAATTGTGTTTCTGTTTGTGCCACTTTGCCGACTTGCTGCCTAATAAGGGGCTTTGTCACTTGTCACCTAGTTACTTACTAGGTCTCCCCAACAATCTAGTAAGCTGGCGGAGAACAGGGCCTACTCCCCTGCCTGTGTGTGCACACACATGTGTCTTCCCTACCTGTGTTTAATGCACTGTTCCAACCCCCCCCCTCAAAATAGCATCAAAATAAGGCTCACTGGAAAAGATAAACCAGTCTCTTTTGTAACGAGTTATTTCTCAGTAAATAAGCAAAAAAAATATCCATGATATTTCATTATAATGTACTTTATTATACTAACATGTTAGAAGAAATTAAGCTCATTTATTCAGTTATTTTTCTCCTTGAGGAGGAACTCTCAATAGCACTTGATTCTAGTCAGAAGTAGTTGGTTTTCATACTGATGGTTTCTCACTTCGACCACCAGATGTATCCATTTGACATACGTTAACTGGGTGCCTACTATGTGTAAATAGTGTTTGAGACCTGGAGAAACAAATGAGTAAATCAAAGCTTATGTTCTTGGGAGGGGATGAAGACGTGCAAATATAATCAAGCGAAACAATGAAGAAAAAGATGATGTAGCGTGATGGTGAAGGGATTGAGTTCTTTTCCTTTGGAGAGGAAAACCAGTCTTTAATGAGAAAAAACATGGTGGTCAACAGGAGAGCAGGTGGTAGCACTTAAGGACCAGGACTTTGAATTTCAATAGAACTGGATTCAAATCCAAGTACACCACCCACTGTTAGCCCTACCACAAATTACTTAACTTCCCCGAGCCCAGCGGGCTCATCTCTGAAAAAAGGGATAATAGGCATTTGCCCTCATAGGTGGTGAGGATTCTGTAAGATAATTCGTGCAAAATACTTAACATGGTGCCAGACACATACCGAGCAATTAATAAGAGCAGCTATTACTTCCGTAAATTTAAAACTGAATAAAATATCTGAATAATCATTTCAAAACCAGGTTTCCTTACTCAAGATTATATGTTGTAAAACTTTAATTTATAAAAATAGTGACAAATGTAGAAGATGCTGTTTTGCTCCATCCGGATCACTGCTTCCGTATGAGGCTCTCCTTCCCCCAGCAACTACTTCCCACTTGGAGAATGTTGCCCTGAACTGAACTGCCTCAACTCAAGTTATGCCCCCTTCTGGCCAAGATGGAGAACCACAGCCAACCCTCTAATTTCAATTTGGATCCATTTTGAAGGGCCATCCCAGCTCCAGAGCTTCCTGAGATGGCCTGAGACCTCTGTGGAAACCTTTTCTGTTTCCTCACTCCCCAGGAAGCTACTGCCTCAGGCTTCATCTCCGTCACCTTCCCAAGGAAGCTCAATTAAGTCCAGCAACCATTGTATGGGCAAGGCCCTACTGGGGAGCATGGTTGGCAAACTTTGTCCGTAAGAGGACAGATAGTGTTTCAGACTCCTGTGGGCCATACTTTCTCTGTCGTGTTTATCCAGCTCTGCCATTCGAGTGTGAAAGCAGCCATTGACAATACATAAATGAATGGGTGTGGCTGAATTACAGTAAAGCCTGATTTTATGGACACTGAATTTGAGTATCTTAAGTCCACATGTCAAATACTTTTTGATGGTTTTTCCATTTTTATTTTTTTTTAAAGATTTTATTTATTTATTTGACAGAGAGAGACACAGCAAGAGAGGGAGCACAAGCAGGGGGAGTGGGAGAGGGAGAAGCAGGCTTCCTGTGGAACAGGGAGCCCGATGCGGGGCTTGATCCCAGGACCCTGGGATCATGACCTGAGCCAAAGGCAGTTGCTTAATGACTGAGCCACCCAGGTGCCCCGGTTTTTCCATTTTTAAATGATAGAAGAAATTCTGAGCTCATGGGGGTTCAAAAAGGGTGTAACTAGATTTATGGTGATCATTTTGCAATTGATACATTAACTCATGGTATACGCCTGAAACTAATGTAATGTTATGTCAATTATATCATAATTTTAAAAAATAGGCAGCAGACTAGATAAGGCCAGTGAGCCATGTTTTGCCATCCCTTAAGCGAGAAGAATGGGGTAGAGCAGTGAGGTGCTCATGAAGCTACCATTCTAGGGCATGAGTTGACAGAATTTGCTATGATGGTCCCCTAGGGCTTGTAACCTTGTTTGGAGGATGCAGAAGACCCCTTCCTGGCTCCAGAAGGGTCAAGAGAAAGTAGAGGAAAAAAATGATTGCGGGGGGGGAATTGACATTCATAACTTCTTTAGAAGCTTAGTACCACCAAGAAAATCATATGTAGCAAAATAAAAGGAATTATTTTAATATTCACGATGTGAGGGGTACCTGACTGGCTCAGTCGGTGGAGCATGCGACTCTTGGTCTCAGGGTTGTAAGTTCAAGCCCCAAGTTGGGTGGAGAGAGGACTTAAAAATAAGATCTTAAAAAGAAAAATTCATGATGTGATACTTTCCATTTAGAAAACTTCATCTTCACTAGTAAACAGAACTAGAAGGTTAGAGTGGCCATAGCTAAGTAATCATTAAAAAAATATAAAAAAAAAACCACAATTGCAATTTGCTACTCTTCGAATGTTTATAAAGAATATATAGATTTTAAATGATCTGATAAAGAATGGAGAAAAGAAATAGAAATAGAATTTCACAACGGTTGGAAACCGGTCTTTCTACCCAAACATAGCACCCTTCTATAGTCCATTCTTCTCAAGAAGAAACAACTTGGAGGAATTTATTTGCTTAACAAACATTAACTCTTGACCCTGAAACCTTTGGCTTTTTGTTTTCCCATGGTGTATGTTCTTGTTTGGCTTGGCTTCTTTTTAAACTTCTGTACTCCTTTAAATCATACCTTTTCTTCTTGGGTCGGTTTTATTTTTGCTTCGTTGCTGTACAACAACCATAAAGACTAATTTCAGGGCTCCTCTTTCCACACGCCTTCATCACATGTAATGGTTAAGATTTCCTCTGAATTCACACCTGACCTCCATCCAACCTTTACTTCTCTAGCTTTGGACTGCGCTTCACACCCAACTCCTGCACATTCTCGGACTCAATGAAGAAAGTGTTGCTCTAGCTTGGAGTAGTTGAGAGGCATCCTCTCTATGGATTCACGTTGCTATACTGAGAAATATGGAGACTAGGTGTGCTGATTTCACTTGATACCAGCTGTAATAGACAGTTAATGACTATGTCCTTGGCTTTGGAGGTCTCCAGATTCTTTTCTCTAGACACTTGGAGACTAATTTGATCCACACTTGTCATGATGAGTTCAGATGCCAGGATCTGGGTGGGAGAACTGTCGTGAAACTCAGTGTCCATAATGTACTGCTGGTATAACTCGGCCACCTTCTGCTCCAGGTATTCATTCAGCACTGCGTTAGACATAGGCTTCTGCATTTGCAGGCTGCTTTTCTCTTTGATGCTGGTTATTCTCCAGTAGGATGAATACCGCTGGATAGGTTTTGGGGGAAAGTAGCTGGGTTGAGGGGAAATGGAATCCTCCATGGGCAAAGGAATCTCAGATGATTTCAGCAAAGGGCCGTATTCAAAACTGCTCTGAGGGGGGAATTCTGTTGTCACTGAATTAATAGCCATCACCTGGTCCCCTGCAATATGTAAGTCATTGTAATTCTTGCAAATACTTTGGCAGGAAGGTGGGACCAAGTAGGTCTCTCGGCTGGAGTCTCTACATATTTCGACCGCAGCCACATTGGGACTTTCAAACACAGGGTTGGGGTTCGTCTGCAGCATTGTGGCTCTCGGATTTCTACTGTGTTGGCTCTCTCTTGAATGCACTGAAGAAATAAATTTGTCCGAGGATTTGCAGCTCACATACAGACTTCGGACTTGGGTTTCATCCACCGAGCAGTAGGAATGAGTAACAGATTTTGTCTCTTCTTCCTTCTCCTCAGCCACCTGCTCATTGTAAGATGAACAGCTCCAGTGGATGTCCTTCTGGTAGGCAAGTCCACTGAGATACCCTTCTGACAGCATTCTGGAAAGAGAGTTGATAAGTAACAATGGGGGAAATGAAGATTGGAATTGTAAAAATGAGCAGTTGGTGATAGCCAAAATAAAGGGGGGCACCCAGGTGGCTCAGATGGTTAAGCCTCTGCCTTCGGCACAGGTCATGATCCCAGGGTCCTGGGATCGAGCCCCGTGTTGGGCTCTCTGCTCAGCGGGGAGTCTGCTGCTCCCTCTGACCCATGCTCTTTTCTCCCTCTCTCTCTCCCTCATTTAATTTTTTTAAAAAATAGAGGACAACAAAGCAGGTGATTTCATTCATCTACCAAGCCATTAATAATGATGTGCATGCTGTGTACCAGGACTATGGCCTATGGTAGAGAGAAAAAGAGAACAGAGTTGTGTCGCAAGAAGGTTCTACTATGGGAGAAAAATTGGGTGCAGACAATTCCAATATTACATCACTGAAGATTCGAAGAGTGATGGACACTAAGGAAGCACAGAAGAGTCCCTAACACAGCCTGGGGCAAAGGCAGAGAAGTCACAGGATGTATCCTAGGGACAGTGACATTTCAGCTAAAGTGAAGACTGAGTGGGAGTTTCAGCCATACAGAGTTAAAAGAGAATATAGTGGCTTGGCTTATTCACCGTGTACCAAGATGCCGAACGTAAGTAGAAGGGGCTGGAAAAGACACGAATTGGGTGTCAGGCAGCAGTGCTTGCTCTCTACCCCAGAGAAAATGGGGAATGACTGAGAAGCTGGAAATTGGGGAAGTAACTAGTGGGTTATGGGGGTGGAAAAAACATCGCAGGAACTTACGGCAAATTCTGCTGAACGTAAGAACTGTGTCTTACTCATCGTCGCATTTATCCCTGGGGACTGGCACAAGTGTTTGCATTTTGGAGGGACTCAAAAGATTGTTGTGAAGAGCTTGAATTAAATAATCAACAATGGCAGGGAGGATAAAGAATTCACTACCAACCCACCACGAAGGCCCACGGAGCCTCCCTTCCTCTGCAGCCGGGGAGGCTTTCCCAGCTCTGTCCGGCCCGCTTCTCACTGTACAACATCCTAGAAATGTGTCTGTGCCCAGCAGATGGCTTTCCCTCTGCCCTAGCTAGCAGGGAGCTTTCCTGATCTGGGGCTGTGGCGCCACCGGCCTCCCCTCCTCCCCCTCAGCGGGTGTCCGTGGAATCTGGAGGGGCTAGAACAGGCTGGAAACAGGCACCTGTTCGTCTTTGGCTTTGAGGGCCAGGCTTTTCAAACACATCTATTAACTTAAGTCAGAAATTGGAAAGTCAAATGAGGGGACGCCTGGGTGGCTCAGTCAGTTAAGCATCTGCCTTCGGCTCAGGTCATGATCCCGGGGTCCTGGGATGGAGCCCCGCGTCGGGCTCCCTGCTCAGCAGGGGAGTCTGCTTCTCCCTCTCCCTCTGCCTGCTGTTCCCCCTGCTTGTGCTCGCTCCCTCTCTCTGTCTCTCTCTATCACAAATAACATCTTAAAAAAAAAAACAAAAACCCAGTGTTCAAAAAAAAAAAGGAAAAATCAAATTAGGAAATAATTTTATCTAAATAGAAGGGTCCTATTTGTACAGTTCAGCATCTAAATTCAATTACTTCCCAAGTGAATTTTTAATTGTATAAAGGTAATATTATAAACAGAAAAAAATAGTATAATTGTTTTAATTGTGTAAGAGTAATTTTTCAGTGTTGATTTTCTCTTTTAGAGCTATTTGGAGATAGATGCAGTAAATTTATCAATTAAGTATTTACTATTTTCTACTCAGTGTTACATACCATAAAGACACAAAATTAAGGGTTTTCAACACATCTGTGAGGTGATTCTTGTATGCTGGACACACTTAGGATAATGAAAATGTTTCCTGAGAAAACTTTCTAAGTGTAGTTCTTCCCTCAAACTGAACATCAATATGAAAAGACGGCTCTTACATTCTTGAAAAGCAGATCGTTGACAGAGCAAAGGACGTTATCATACAGGTCCAACAGAGTTCACGACTCGCCTGTGCCGCCCCACCCAGGCTGCAGCTAGGGGCTTCGGCCTTCAAGGTCTCAGAATACCATCCAAAAAACCAGAACAAAAATGAGGCTCTTTACTTCTGAGTTCCTAAATGGGCTTCTAGAACTCTTGGCAGATTTCCGTTTTAGAAAAAGGGCTTTTGAGAAAACGTAACTTGAGCTTTTAAACTTGAGAATCCAGAGCCCTAAAGGATCTAGGGCATAGTATTTACACATCAACAAGAGACTCCTGGATAGAAGTCCCCGTGGATGGAAGTGCTAGGACTCCAGCTAGGTTTGAGAAGCCAAGAAGAGAGGTCTGTGCCCTACCTCCCACATAAAATCCGAGGAAGCAGGAAGTCAAAGGAAATGCTCTCCTGCTCAGCCTGGTGTGGGAGAAGGAGAGCCAGCCACATGGATTGCTTAGGTGGACAGGCCTGAGGCTGCCTCATCAAGCTGGCTCACACACCCAGAGCCTCCAAACCTGGAGAAGACCTAGGTTGGGGGTGGGAAGATTGCAGACGTATCTATAGACTATTTCCCAGGGACCGGGTGAATAAGTTTCCATGGATGCCAATATGATGACACGTTGACCACCAAACCCGTCCCCCCCCCATATGCACAACTGACCCTATAGCTGGAATTGAGGGGAGCACTCAAGGAGGAAGGAGCCCTGAAGTGACTGAAGAAATCCTGATTAATTTAAAATGTTAATATTCATAAGAAAGGTGAGAACAGGAGAAGAGACAAGTGCAGTAACATTTCAGAAGCCAGAAAGTGGGAGACCAAGGGTTAATGTCTTTGGAGATGAGAAAACTGACTTTTAATAAGAACCATGGAAAACTCCAAGAGCCAGTTCGGGGGGCGGGGCGGGGGGGAACATGAGCTACTGTCAATATTCTCAAGGGGACAGAGTTGATGAAACTTCAATTAAAACTAAGAGGCTATAAATCTGGAAAACAGTATGGAGGTTCCTCAAAAAGTTGAAAATACAGCTACCATATGATCCAGCAATTGCACTACTGGGTATTTACCCCAAAGATACAAAAGTAGGGATCGGAAAGGGTACGTGCACCCCGATGTTTATAGCAGCAATGTCCACAATAGCCAAACTTTGGAAAGAGCCAAGATGTCCATCGACAGATGAGTGGAAAAAGAAGAGGTGGTATATATATACAATGGAATATTATGCAGCCATCAAAAGGAATGAGATCTTGCCATTTGCAACGACGTGGATGGAACTGGAGGGTATTATGTTGAGCGAAATAAGTCAATCAGAGAAAGACATGTATCATATGACCTCACTGATATGAGGAATTCTTAATCGCAGGAAACAAACTGAGGGTTGCTGGAGTGGGGGGTGGGGTGGGAGGGAGGGGTGACTGGGTGATAGACACTGGGGAGGGTATGTGCTCTGGTAAGCGCTGTGAATTGTGCAAGACTGTTGAATCACAGATCTGTACCTCTGAAACAAATAATGCAATATATGTTAAGAAAAAAGAAGAAGGTAGCAGGAGGGGAAGAATGAAGCAGGGGAAATCGGAGGGGTAGACAAACCACGAGAGACGATGGACTCTGAAAAACAAACTGAGGGTTCTAGAGGGGAGGGGGGTGGGAGGATGGGTTAGCCTGGTGATGGGTATTAAAGAGGGCACATTCTGCATGGAGCACTGGGTGTTATGCACAAACAATGAATCATGGAACACTACATCTAAAACTAATGATGTAATGTACGGGGATTAACATAAGAATTAAAAAAAAAACTAAGGCTATAAAAAAACCATTCTCAAGTCCTTAGAAATTAAAAATGTTAGTGAATTTTAAAGCTCAGTAGAAAGACTGAAAAGTAAAGTTGAGGCAAAATCCCATTTTGAAAGTAGAACAAAAATACAGGATGAAAAATAGTAAAGATAAAATTAGAAAACCAGTCCAGGAGATTCATTATCTGAGCAATAGAAGGCTCAGAAAGAAGACAGAGAATATAGGGGAGAAATTTAAACATAGTATTTCCCAAAACTGAAGGACATGTTTCCAGAATACTGGGTCAATGCCCACTTTTTTTAATATGTCCCCCCTTGTTACTGTAAAAAGAGCACTTGGGACAAAGAGAAAACATTATACATTTTCAGAGAGAAAAAAGAATATGAGAACCAGAATGTTTTAAACTTCTCCAAAGCAACATGAGAAGCAAGAAGATTATGTAATGATGTTTAAAAATTTTTGAATGAAATTTATATTCAACCTGGAATTTAATGACCAAATCATCAATCAAGTATGAGGATAAAATAGAGATATTTTTTAAGTCACACGTCTCAAATAGCTCATCTCCCAGGCACCTTTCTCAGGAAGTCAGTGGAAGATGGGATCTATAGAAAGGAGTAAGTATTAAAGGCTCAAAAGGCAACTTGGCTGGTTGGAACAGATCAGAAGGCTTCTGGAGACGAAGATGAAATTGAAGACCACTTCAGAAGTCTGAGCACCGTGAAGTAAGATTTATGTAATTGACTATGGACTTGGGGGTGAATTAGGAAAAGCGAAGCAAATGAAAAATTTCAACCAGCGCTGTCCAACAGAACTTTCTGAAATGATGCAATGATCTCTATCTGTGCTGTCCAAAATGTTAAGTGGTAGCCACATGTGGTTAGCAGGCCCTTGAAATGTAGCTAATGAAATGGAATTTTAATTTTATTTAAATTAATTTAAAACACCAGATGGCACTCTATTGGACAGCACAGGCTTAGAAGATAGTGAAGGTGATAACCTAAAACTTTCAAATACTCAAGACAGGCAATTATAATTGCAATTTAAAGTCTACCAGATGATCACTGTCATTCACTGTCATCGCAATAATTCTAGAGTAACATCTGATTAATTCATCTCTGTACTCCTTTCAAGGAGTGTTGGAGAGGGGTTACCAAAAGCTAGTGAACCAAGGGCATAAATTTTGAGCTATTTGGTGATGATCTATGGGACCCTAATCTGAGACACTTTGTCTTTAGCTATTTTGAAACCAA